ATGTGCAAGGTCTTTTTATCGGATTGGTTATGAAATATGGATTGTCGCTGTGCAGGAGCTTGAAAGTGACTGCCACGCTCTGAAGTTTTGCTGCTTGTTTTATATCCAATAAATTTGACGCAACAGATGGGCAATTCAGTTTTCGTGCTCTTTGAATTTCATATCCGGATTACGTCCACTTCAACTTCAAGTTTATGTCCCGAAAAGAGAAACAGAAGAAAATATAGAGTATAATGTAGAAATGTGAGCATAATAAGACAAATGGGGGTCGAGCCCCACCCCTTGATTTTAAGGACATTTAATAATGTATCAATTTAATGTTGTATTTTTAAAATTTTGGGGTTTTTTTTACCCTCCATACATTACCAAACCCAACAAGGTGATATATTTCATGATTACCATTAACAATATGTATAAAAAATAAGTAAATAAAACATTAATCACAGATTAAAAGCTGTTCTGAAAAGTTATTAGGGCTCATTGCGGTAGATTAACAGGAAGTAGTGCGTAATTACGAAATGAAAGCAAAACGATTCACGGTTTCAAACACGTTTTAGAGACGAAACTCTGAAAAGTGTGGTGTGCTTATGTATTAATTCCTTCTTAGCAGCATAATTCAGTGCCTTTCAGATTGGACGGAGGAGCCAGTTTATGTCTTTCATGGGTTGGACTCGCGTTTGGGCCGGTCCCATCGCTCTCAGCCAGCCACTCCATGATGCTGCCACCGCCGCCATGTTTTCAGGTTGAAATGCTGAAATGCTAACCCGGACTTCACATTGATAATCTTCATTCTATTATGGAGAAGTTGTAGATTTCACAATCTGTCCCAGTAAGATGACGTCATTTAAATCCACTTATGTGAAAATCCTGAGTATTTATGAATACGAATAGATTTGTTTATTCTAATAGACAAAAAAACAGGCGGAACATTTAAAGACATCCTAGCTTTAACAATAGTTTGACATTTTGTTGCTGAATATGATCCATAAAGGATTGTGCGCAGCGTCCAAACAGGATCCGGCATATGGGTGTCACAGACAGTCAAACACGTCTCCGCCGTCCCGTTGAGACAGTCGGGCCCTCAGTTGTCATGGGAGTGCTGTCAATGATCCTCCGTCTCCGCGCTGCTCTCTGTCCCCCTCCATCTGTCTACTGGGCAGCCTCTCTCCGTTCTGACAATCTTTTATCTTCCATCCTGGCCAAGAACATTGCATCTGTCCGAAGGGAAGACATTACTAACGAGCCAAGGACTCAATCCGTTAACTGACCGCGCACGGCTAGAGAAAAAAAAAAAAGAAGATCACATGAAAGGACGACATGATTCGCTCGCGCAAACACCTGGTCTCTGTTTTTGGAGTCCGTCCAGAGCTAATTCATTGGCACGCTCCCCGACAACAGCGTAACAATCCGAATGCATGTTTATTCATAGTTTCCCGTTTTTACTTTTGTCACGTTTTTTTCCCTCCCTAACGGTAAAAATAAAGGTTTAATAACTACAAACTAGGGATGCACCGATCTGCTTTTTTTTTTCCACTTCCGATACCGATATCTGAAGGTTTGTATCGGATGATGCCAATCCGATGCGAAAAATCAGGCTGAGTTGACTCAAAGCGTTTCTGTTTTTTCAGACATGAATGCACTAAATTACAAATTTATTTGATGACCAATAGTTTCAAGAGTTGGTCAAGTGTGTAAGAACGATGCAACTTTAATGTGTTCGGTCAATTATTGAGTAAAACAGTCAATGTAAAATAAATGATTAAGAAACTCACTAAAACAAACTACAACAAACATTCTTTCAAGTAGTTAACAAAGTGCAATTAGGAATCCTAAATATAATGTAAAATGAACGATAAAGCCTGATGTCACTCACGATGCAAAGCACAGAATTAGACTGAACAGACTTTCCCTTATCATTGATCCCTGATGTAGAAGTCTTTTTTCAATATTGGAACTGATACAGATATTAACATCGGATCGATGCGTCTCTCCTTCAATGCAATCCATTGTTTTGTTTCCTGTTCCTGTTGTCATTCTCTCCCAGCCGGTAAAGTACTTAACATTCGTAGTAATAAAATAACATGAACAGAGCATTTCTACTCTGTCATTTATGACAATCTGTTGTGTTGTAAAAAATGTATTTGCCGCCTCAGAGATTTTTAATGGTTCCTCTCTTTCATACTTAGTTGTTTCAGATCATAAAACGCATTTTAATACCAGACAAAAATAAGCCGAGTAAACAGGAAAGGCGGTTTTATAATGATGGTTCTTTTGAGCTGCCATGAAGAGTTAGTGGTTAGTTACGAAGGGTCTTTTATGTTGTTGTGGAGGAATTGTTTTTTTTTTTCCCCTGATCTTGTTTACAGAACTGCTTTAATTTGAACTCGTTTAAAGTCTCTCCGTAGCGCCTCGGAGACTTTGACTGAGCCGTCACATATGAGGGAAGGTTGTCAGCTTTTCTGCTTTTTTCCTTCCATTGGGTATAACGGACTCTCTCTGTGGCTTGTTTGGAGTCAAAAAGAGTCAGCAAACCCGTCGTTTGAACATACGGATCTGTTCAAACTATCCCGCTGAAGGACGTGTTGCCGTTTTGCTTTTCTGAGCTCTTTTGCCACACTGCCTGTTGCCCGACAGGTTCTGTCGATTCCGCAGGTCTTGGCGTTGATCTGGTCTCAATAATGCTGTTGAAATGATTGGAATGTGGTTAGTCAATGCTAAGGAAGAGTGGGAACATCCACTTTGCATTTGGACTTGGAACTTCATTTTCATATTGGATTTATTTTTGTGTCCCTCACAGCCAGGAAATGGCCGCCTGGCGCCACACAGGTAGATGGTGACGCGACTCCTGTTGAAATTGTGACCGCTGTCTCTTTAAAAACTCCCGTTTCTTCCGAATCGCCGCCTTCAGGAAGTCATCGCTACACGCAGCCGCTATTAACCCTTTGGCAATGTTTTTACCAGCTGAGAAGCAGCTCGTCTGACGAGTTCGGCAGAAGCTTGGTGTTTGCTAATTGCGCCTGGCTAGGCTGGAGGAGCTGAGACCGGGGAACTGTCTGGGAGGGTTGTTCTGTGAGCTCTGAGGACTCAAAAGAGTTTGACCAGGATACTTCAGCAAATTGCAGCCTTTCTATGGGTCATCAGGACGAAACCAGCTGACATCACTGACACTGATCATCGCTTTCTAAATACTGACTGGTTTTTGGGCTGTTTTCTTGGTTTTCCATGTCGTTTTGCACAATGTTTCAGTCATGCTCTCAACTCTAGTGTCATTCCAGGTTCTTTTTCTTTCTGTGTAAATTGCCTGGGTTCCCACTGACGCCATTTCAGAAATATATCAAACAGAAAATAAACGCTTCAGCTCTTATCGTTGATCCAACGGTGGAAAGCAGGAACGGGTTTGAAGCACATCAAGTGCATTGCGTGACAGTCGGTTTGGTTTCAGCAACTTTTGTTCCTTGCTTTCCACCAGAGGAAACCCGTCCTGACATCTTCCCTCGTCGCCTTAACACCAGCTGCCTCACGCTCCTCCACCTTCGTGCTAGCTAGCGCGGGATAATGGTCGCACGCGGCCAGCTTTCATCTGAAAACGTAAAGCCCGCGGTTTCTAAAAACACCTACCAGTCGGAGGCGACTTGTGCTCGACATTACCTGCAGTGTGCTGGTTTCTCGCAGACTCGTCGCCGTAAAGATGAAGGAAGACTTTCTCGCTGACAACGTTGGAGGCGGGAAAAGAGCGGGATTGACGATGAAGGGGAGGGGAATGGGGATCTGGGGGACTCGTCAGATCTGTTATTTTACCCCCCCCCCCCGTCACACACACACACACACACACACACACACACACACACACACACACACACACACACACACACACACCAACACACACACACACAGACACCCAGACAGTGACGTTCTCAAAACTTTCACTCATTATCCCCCTTTCACCTCTCCTCCCCCTCTCTCTGTTTGAAGCTCCCAATCTCTCTTCCTCCCACACTCTGTCTGTCTCCTGAGGTTTCTTCTTTCCTGGCTTTGTTTCTTCTTCCTCTTCCTTCCTGCGTCCCTCTTCACCCCCCCGAAACACACACTTGTATGTGTGTGTGCTTGTATGTTTCATTTTTACCTCTTTTTATCTTGCCACTGTATGCTTGGGTGGCGTTTCCTTCCCTCCTCTCTCGGCTGCTCTTCTTGGTTTAGCACGACCGTCACAACTCTTCTCACTCGCTTCCATTCTGCTTTTTACACACACACACACACACACACACACACACGCACGCACGCACACACACACACACCCACACACACACACACACACACACACACACCACACACACACACACACAAGTTTGTATTTCTATCCATTCATTTTAGTAACTGCATTTATATCTAAACCAGATGTTTTCCCTAAAAACAAATCGACTTTTATTATCTATGCGTCATGTTATAATGTTATCCCCTCATCAAACACATACCTGAAGTGATGCTTTGACTTTTCCACGCATGTTTGAGAAATCCTTTAATGGCGACCATTCAGCTGTGCAAAATGCATCTGGCTCCACCTTATAGCTGCAGCTTTCAAGCTTCCGCCTCACAGAGCAGCCACTCCCACACTCAGCTCCTTCAGACTAGCCAGCAGCAGTTAGCAGACACCTGGTGGAACTGCACATCTCCTGATCTCACTATAGGAGCTGCTTGCCATTGCAACGCTGGTGACAACACCGTTAAAGGGTTAATAGAGGAGCCATGTTGCGATGACTTTCCGAAGGAGAAGGTTCAACACCAACAGGAGTTTCTTAAAAAGACAGAGACGCAATTTCAAGGCATTAAGTGTTGAAGTCATCTTTGACAAATGCAGGATTTTTAGAACAACTGAAGGTAACGGTGCTATACAGTGATGCGACGTGGCTGGAAAAAAAAACAACATGAAATTGCTCCTGTAATTCACACCTTACCTCTAAACCTGACCGCATTAGGACATGGCTTTGTCTTCACAATGTTAGTAAATATGCCACAAACAGTCCTAAATAGGACAGTTAAACAAGCACACACACACCCCCACACACACACACACACACTCCTCTTCCTCCTTGCCTCCTCTTCTGCCAACTTCACACTTTTCCTCCCTCCTGTCGGTGTCTTGGGTCACTTCCTTTTTGCACAAGATCGCACAAACACACCCGTAGATGTGCACACACACTCGCCTCTCTCTACATATTTGCTTTTCTCACACATCTTTATCTTCACATTACCACTTTTCTCTCCCTCTCCACACTTTTTTACCCAATAGCTCTCTCTCTCTCTCTCTCTCTCTTCCAACACATTGGTACAGCCTCTCTTTCTCTCTCTCCTATCCTCCCTCCCAGATATACACACACATACACACACTCTCTCCCTCTCTCAGTCCTCAACTGCACCTCAGCACGGCAACTCGCTGCTTCGTCGCGGCTGCAGCGCAGAGCGGCGACGGGGCTCCTGCCGGCTCTCCATCACCCTGAGACCAACCATAAAGAGCAAACAAGAACCTGGAGGAGGAGGGAGAGGGCGGAGGTCGGTGGAGGGAGAACGCCGAAGTCTCATCTTCCTCCCTGGGACTCCAAAGCAAGCACCCATCTTACTGACAGGAGGAGGAGGAAGATCTGTTTTCACACTGTCCTGACTCAGTTCGTCACCTCCAGCAGAAGCAGCAGCAGAGGATGCACGAGGAAGGAAGAAAGTTCTCTCTCTCTGCAACTCAGCGCCGCGTCGATCATTAGGAGCCGAGGAAACTTTTTTTCAAGAAACGAGAGGAAGGGCGGGGGGCCTAAGGGAGAAAGTTCCCCTCGCCCTCTTCCTCCCCCCTGGCCTGCCCCCCAACTCTGTCCACGCGGTGCTGCTTTTCTGTTTTTCTGGGTGGGTGGGTGGTATTTGTCAGGGAGGAAAGCAGCGCCCCAAATCCCCCCCGCGCCCCCCCATGTGGCAGGAGGCTCTGTGGACCCGCGGACGCTACCTGCTGGAGAAGAGCGATGGGGCCGGCGAGGGAGCCGAGGGGCCCGACGGCCCGGGGGACGGCGGCGGCCCCGGGTTCCAGGGCGAGGCGTGCCCGGAGGCGGAGAAGCCCCAGGACTGGCTGTACGAGTCGTACTACAGGATGAGCCAGCAGCATCCGCTCATCGTGTTCCTGCTGCTGATCGTCATGGGAACCTGCCTGGCGCTGCTGGCCGTGTTCTTCGCATCGGGGCTGGTGAGTGGAGGCGCGTAGAGGCGCGTAGAGACGCGTAGAGACGCGTAGAGGCGCGGAGAGGCGCGAGCGGCGGCGGCACTTTGGAGGTGTGGCGGTTAAAAGCCCAGAACGACGAGGTCAAGAGGAGTTGAAGCCTGACGCGCTCTCCTCACACAATACACAGCACGACTCCTGCTGCGTGTGGAAGATGCTGTTTTTTACATTTCGGCTGATGCACTTTATTTCTCTTCCCATATTTGGCTCAAACAGCCCCCCAAAACGAGCGCATTTAGTATTTTGCACGATGGTTTATGCTGCAGATAGAAAACTGTGCGGACAAAAAAATATATATTTTCAAGTTCAAGTTTATTTGTATAGAAGATTTCTGCAATCCAGACTGCTGTACGTCACAAAAACACAAAAATGAAAAGTCAGAAAAATAACAGTTGAGGAGCCACATTTTGACCAGTGACATCATCACATTCGTCATTAGGCGTCCAATATGCCGGTCAGTGTTTCCTCAATTATGTCCCAAAGCAAATTAGTAGCGTTTAAACATTTCTAATACTTTTTTTGGAGGTTTATTTCTGTTCACTTGACTTCTGCTGCTTGGCCAGGTCACTCTTGTGAAAGAGTTTTTCTTTATTTGGTTAAATACATTTTTTTCTTTTTAAATCCCAATTGTTTATCTTTCTTTTTTTCCGACTATACATTTATTATTATTATTATGTATTTATTGGAACCGCGTTTGAGGGTGGCTGCTTTTAAAATGTCGTGCTTTCCTGCACAACGACAAGGATTTCTGATTGTAAAAGTTTAATAAAAAAACAAAAAAAACTTTAAATGAGTTTTTTTAAAGTTAAAATATGCATTGTGCAATTCTAAATAGTAGATTAAAGCCCTCCAAATGAACCAGTTCTTGTTCATATTGTTTCATTTTTTTTACAATACGGTGCTCCAGAAATCACTTCTGGATCATCACTATATAATATCTTGTGCTGATCAGCATGGCGTTCCCTCTGCATACAGTTACAGATTTCGATTCGATAGGAAGTAAGAAGAGCGTCTCCTGAAGGGCAATACTTTCTGAGGAGAGAAACGTTGATGTTCACTTTTTGTCAATGAATGAAATGCAGAAAAAACAACAACATTCCTGCCCTCCTTGGTGGACTATGTTGGTATTACGGCAACCGAGACACTTCATCTCCACTGACTACAAAACATCACTGTGGCTTCCAGTCCCAAGAAAGAGATTGTTTGACATTTTAAATGCGTCAGAGGTATGAATAGTTTTTGAGCCCAAAGGACGTCGGGAACTTTAAGTCGTCAGTTTTTGTCGATCTTGAGTACAATTTCAGAATCGCGTCCCGTAATGCGCGCAGACCGCGGCTTTGAGGCACGTTGCTGAAAAACCGTCTGTGTTGAAGCTCTTGCTCCTCTAAAGCTGCATCTCTCGACCCTCATCCAGACGCACGCTGGCTGTCAGAGCGAGCGTTCAGATCGCCTCCCTCTTTCAGCCTGCAGGACGCCTTGTCCGTCCAGAAAGTTCGCTTTAGACTCATTCAGGGTTGAAACAACTAATCGGGTTAATCGCAATGAACCGATCATTGAAGTAGTTATCAGCTAATTTAGGAATCGATTATCAGGAGTACAAAAACGATTAAAAGAGAAAAAGGCAATTTTCTGGAAGAGCAACAGACTCAAAGTGGTAATTAAACCAAAACTGTCCAAAAACTACATGCATTTTAGGTTTAAGATAAAGGGGGTGAAAAAACCTTTGTCTGTAAATTTGTTCTACTCAGAACCAAGTTTTAGCTTCACCTGATTCAAATTAAGTGTAAAATCTACAATTATTAATCAGTTAATCCAGAAAATGAATAATCAGATTATCTCTAAACTGCTGATGCTAAGTAGAGAGGCTTTCACAGTTTTAAAAGTGTTTTTTTTAGCTGCAGATGCATCCTTTGCTACAAATGAGACTCTATTGCATTACGTTATTGCATTTTAATTCAATAAAGTGTTTATTTTATCACTTTAAAAAAGAATTGAGTTATTTGTTCATTTGTATTTCCAATATTGTATTTTTTTTATTTTTTTTAAAGAAGCTCAAGCAGTGAGATTAATAATCTGCAGAAATTGCAATTAATCGTCAGAATTATTCAAGAAAGTTTGTTGAGCACCGATTTTACAAAAACACAAAAGCAGAAAAGGTTGAATTAGCTTCCAGCAACGACTCTGTTAATACAACTCTTAAGCAGCTGGAGGGCCTCAAGTGACTGTCTACTGGTTTTCATCCAGTCTCCATGATAACCAACAGCTGTCCTGACCGAATCGCAGCATCAGAGTCCAATAAAATTCAAACACAACGTTCAAAACTCATTTATCTTTTGAGACGTGGATTGGTAAAACTTTGGCGACTTTGAAGCGTCGAAGCTCCAAATGCGCCACCTTTTTTTTAGTTGGCGCCTTCCAGACAGACGTTTCTGACGTTTGTTGGCTTGGAGTGATTTTTCTGTCTTCTGCTCATAATCTCTCGTAATCTAGAGCGAGAAACTGTAGGTTTATGACGGTAATGTGTGACATCTAGCTGCAGGGGAATGTTAAATTAACTTTGATTTAATGTAAGGAATTCAGAACCTAAATGAAGAGGAACAGAGCTTAAAGCAAGATTACTGGAAAGTAATATAGAAATGATTGCATTGTGTCAGATTTGAGTGATTTTAAGACTATAGCTGCATTAACTAACAAGAAAAGACAGGTCCATCTGTACTATGCATTTCAGCAGCAAGGCAAGTGCTTTACATGACAAAAACATGAAATGTCAGATAAACAGTACATTGAAGTGGCTAAAAATAATAATGGAAAGCAATGTAAAATTGGAAAATTGAACTTCAGTTGATGGTACTCCAGTTCTAGTTCTTACTATGAAAGGCATCAAGGAACAAATGGGTTTTTAGCATTGATTTGCAGGAACTCAGTTTTTCAGCAGTTTTGCAGTTTTCCGGACGCTGTCTGAGAAGCTGCATGCTGCTTCTTTGTGTTTGGTTCTGGTGAGGCAGAGCAGACCGGAACCAGACGACCCGAGAGGTCCGAAAGGTCGACACGCTGACAGTGTATTTAATGCCAGCAGCATTTCAGTCGCGCATAAACTAACAAAAGCATTTCAAAGTCTATTCTTCGGAGTTTAGAGCGGGCTCCCTGTTTTGGTTTTCAGTTTTTGAAGGTTAAAAACCGGACCAGCTGCCGCGGTCCAGAACAAAAGAGGAGTGAGCAGAAAGGCAGCGTTCTAACGTGAAAGCGTGTGGAATTGTTTGCTCGCGGTCAGGAAGTGGATGTAGGAGAGAAAGGAACGTCGATGCGTAGGCGCCAAAAAGGACGGGTTGACCCCGACCACTGTGAGTCGTCAGGATACACAATACTGTTTAAAAAAAAAAAAAAACCCAAAAAGCTAAAAAGCTGCAGGTTTCATTACAGTCAAACATCTTGTGTGCCACATGACTCCCATTATCAACTACAGCGCAGAGAGTTTTGCTTTTAGCGAGGGGATTGAGCGGGACGGAGCCCTTCGCGCGGGGGGCTCGGGGAGGGGCGGCGGTATCCCTTGTGTGTTGCTATGCCTGGCGCCATAAGTGGCTTTGAAGCACTTTGGATTGCAAAGACGGCCTTGCAGAGTGGCTCTGGAGAGCGGGGAGGAGAGTTCAGCTCGCAGCTGTGTGGGCGTCGGTGCTTTTGTCGAGTGAAAAGTGTTTGGCGACAAACACTCAACCGCAAACACGAGCCATTGTTCCTCAAGTGCTGCTTTTGTGTTTTATGAAATGGCCTCACAAAGGAAGGCCCACTCAGAACTGTTGTTGTTGATATCTCAGAGTGATTGTTTCGCCACTGGATGTTTAGGGACAGGCCGTGGATTCGTGTGCATCGTGGGGCGTCAGCGCAGCACCTGGAGAACAGTCCAGATTCTACTTTACTTTACTTTAGTAAATAGCTTCTTTTTGGCTGTACTGTCATCCTATTAATCCCTTCACAGCCATTTAAAGCAAATCAATACGTTTTACTGGCCTGCTTCGCTTACTAGAACCTCAGTTTTTGCTTTTTACGTAGCGCAACCCAGGTCAAAAAGGCTGCTTTCACACTGCAGGAAAATGCAACCCAAATCCACTTTTCTTTATTTTGTTGCCCATATGTCCAGCTTTTTTCACCGCAGTCTGGACGGCCCATTTCTGATTTTTTCACACCCCCTCAAAGGGGAACCAAATCAGATACGTTGTCGGATCGTTTTCAGTCTGTCTGGACGGTCATATAGCGTTTTACACGGCTTTTGTGTCTTTTGACGTGAGATGCTGTGTCCAAAGTGGTAAATCGGGACATTAACAATGGCTGAAAGACGCCCTTCAGTGCGTCATGAAGACAATGTAAGTTGAATGTCCATATCAGACAAAAGTATCAGTTGTGCACAGACATCTCCACTCTCTGCTGGTTAAGGCCAGGCTGCTAATACTTGCTTGCAAACCATTAGCAGCCACAAAACCGCTCATTGGCAGTTAGCGCTCTAGCTTGCCAAAATGACGTTTGGAAGGTCGGTAGCTAGCCCTCTGGCTAGCTTCGTGAGATAATTAACGCATATGTCATGATATATGCATTTATTATCTCTTCGTTTTGAGTTGGATAAACGTCCTCAAGCCTTGCCTCAGCTGTGCTTTCTTCTTATTAGCCTCCTCAGCTTTCTTCCTTTTCCTGGTGACAACACCGTCAGCTCCTGAGTAAACTTTAAAATCGACCCATAAATGACTCCATCCATTATTTCTTCTTCTGTGCATGCTGGGTTGCTCTGGGGTCATAAATCGCATTGCGGTCGGGTTTAATTAATAATGTGAACAACTAGGCCCAAAAAAAAAGGGTGTTTTACGAAACGTTGGAATGAAGCAACAAGACCTGCTGTGTGAACGACGCCTACATTGCCATCATTTGCAAGACGTTTGGAGTTCTTGCAAATGATCTTACGCATGTGTTAACTACTGGGC